GCTGATTTAATGCTTATAGTGAATTGCTTACTTCTACGGGATTTAAAACCTATTTGAAGCATTGGAGCCTTATTTGTTCACTGTTAATTACCTCGGGTTTATGAATCGTTACAAACATTAAAAGATAATGCATTTGGATGAAAAGATAATGCATTCTTCAGAACCAAAGTTGATAGATGAACCTAACGGTGAAATTTTCCCGACACAAATATGATGCATATATACATTCTGATTCTAAATAGACATTTTTTAGCAAATTGTGATGCATTTAAAATATTCTGTGATACATTTGAATATGAGTTTAAAATATGTTGGATGATGTCAATTTTAAAAGAATAAAATGTGTATTTAGTTTGTTCAAGTGCATGATGAGAGTCACTTTGAAAAAAGAACTCATTGCCTATTAGCTCAAATGGGAGAGCAGTAGAACTACAGATGTGGGTTCGAGTCCCGCATAGGCAAATTATTTCACAAATTTGTATAACACTTGTTATGAATGAAATACATTCTAAAACTTTTTTATCACATACAAAGTTAGTCATTATTCACTAAGTCACAAATTAATAGAAAAAAATATAAAAAGTGAAATCATAGAGAATTTATCCACCATCACAGTGCATTTATCGATCATTACAGTGCATTTTTATTAAATAAATTTGATCCAGAAAAGTGAAATATTAAAAAGCCTATAATAATATTTTAATATAATCTAAAAGACAATTCACAATACATATGTGGGCAATCACAGTGCATTATTTGCCTTACACATGTAAGTGTGGGTATTACAATGCATCTTCGTGTGATAAACTTGAAAAAATGAAAATGAAAATTCTTTTCTTAAAATATACGAGTAGTTAAATAAAATGAAATTAATATTTAAATATAATAATAGTTTATCCCAACTGAGGTATTGCGCAAATGGTGAGGAATGGGGGATGCAATTTTACTGGATCAAAATTGGACTAGACTAACATATGACTCTTATGCCCCTATTAACTCACTCTTCCTAATTATTAGCACTCTCGTGATTACCTTACAAAAATAAAATACTTGAGTCATTAAATGCACTACTAAATCTTGATCGTCCAGTGCCACTAATCAAACGGATGATACTTATTCTTATTTCTTTCACCAAGCATCATTCTCACAGGAAACACCCCCTATATATCTGTGTGTGTGTGTGTGTGTGTGTGTGTGTGTGTGTGTGTGTGTATGTATGTATAAAATAAATTTTATATTATTTTGTGTTAATTATATGATAATGAAAGTTGACAAAATAAATTGGAAGATTTTTTAAAGTGGGTATTTTTTTTACCATCATCTCTGATGGAGCCAAAATTTCACTATTTTTTGGCTTTGGGGTGTGATGGAATAAATCAAAATGGATCTCTAAACTGTCTGTGCTTCTTTAATTAATGAAGTAGCAGTTAGTCAAACAATGCAACTTTCGACGTTGAGCCGGGGGTCTCTTTGGAAACAACCTCTCTACTTTCGAGTGGGGGTAAGGTCTGCGTACACACACCCTCCCCAGACCCTACTCTTGTGGGATTTAACTGGGTTATTGTTGTTGTTGTTTGTTTTTAAAGTGGGTATTTTGAGATTACCTAAGTAAATAGGAATGAGATTTGATTTCTTTCCTAAATATTAAAAGGAACATTCTCATTAGGATTAGGAATGAGGATTATGCTCCTTATAAATAGGAGATAATCCCGCCGTTTTTCAATTACTAGATTTTCTGCCATCTCTATGCTTAAATTTGTTTCGTTCTCTTAAATAATTTACACCAAATATTTTATATTTTACAAATACCCTGGTGAAAAACTACTAGCATGATTTTCTCTAGAACACTTTTCATAGTTCGTGTGTCTAAACTGGAGGTCATATACTTTTGTGGCTAACTCTTGGACCAATCCCTCCAACCAGCATATATCATTGTTTGCTCGCCAAGAAAGGTACAATCTCTAACAATAACTTATAACGATCATAAGAGGTCTTAGGTGGATCTACATTTGGACATTAAAATTTTTGTTTTCTGCTGCCCTATCCAAGCGTAGAACCCTACAGTGGTATCAGAGCAAAGGTTAAAGGGTTGTAATATGGAGATTACAAAGGTTTTGCCAATCCCCAGGAACTCTCACGCGTGATCTAGAAGAGACGAAGCGTGGCTCTCTGCCTGGGGGCGTATTGTGATGCGTGCTCTGATAGGTTTTCTTTGGTGTCCACCTTGAAAGGTTAGAACCCCTGAAGGAGTAAGGATTCCACATATGATGTAATCAGAGATTACCTAATACCTACAGTGGTATCGGAGCCGACTTATGAACATTATAAGTTTTATAAATCTAACTGTCGTTAGGGTTTTTGTTAATTAATAAAATAAAATATATGTGTATATATTTTCGAAAATTATCCAAAATTCAAGAAAGTCCCAAAATAGAACTCTGGACCTTATAAAATTTGAAAATATGATTTTTGAATTAAATTTTTGGATTTATTTTTATTTTTGGTATTAATAGGTTAAAAACGGTTTAACGAATTGAAATACTTCTAAAATTCTAAAATTAAATTTTATTCAATCTGAGACTTTAAAATATGATTTTATGAGGTCTGGAAATTTAAAATTAATCTTCGGAATTTATTTTCTAATTTATAAAGTATTGTTTGATTTGTAGTTAATTTGATTAATTAGAAGATAAATATGAAATAAATTATGTAAAATAATTTTAATCACTCTGGGATATTAAAATATGATTTTAAGTATTCAGTTTTTATGGTCTATTTTTCGGATTTAAAATAATCTTATTCGTTATTAATAATGATTACATCTGAAAAGACAATTAATTTCAAAATTGTAATTTTATGAACTTCAAAATATGATTTTGAGATTGTATAAAATTTTTGAGAATTAAAATCGTGATTTAAGTAATTATTTATTAATTTTTGGGAAAAACAGTTTTGGTAATTTGAAAACTATTTCCCTAAACTAAATTATTAATTTTAAATCATGGGATATTAATATTTGGTAATAATATCATAATATTCTGAGAATAATTATTTTTTGAATAATTATGATGCACGAAAAATAATTTTAGAAATTGTTTTATGGATTACCAAATAATAAATAGAAAGTACCAAAAATAAAATTTAAGAAAAATCTGGAAATTCGATTTTCAGATTTTTTATGAGTCAAAAACCCTTATTTTTGGAAAACTTTGATTTTTTATATATTTGGAAGATTTTAAATTAATGTTGGAAATTAATTTAACTCTTTTGGAAACAAATTTCAAAATACCAAACATAAAATTTATTTAAACCTGGAATATTTATTTTAAGAACAACACTGACACAAAGTAATTATGTGTGGAATATTTTAATTTTTGGAAACTCGGAATTAATTTTTGGAAAATGAAATTTGATTTAGACTATTTAAATAAAGAATTTTGAAAACAAATTTTATAAATTATGGCAATTTTATTTTCATACTTATAAAATCATGATACACATTCTGGAATGTATTTATTAATTTTCAATAGGTATAAATATTTATTTCGAATTAAAATCCTAATTTCAAAATTAATACCTATATTTACGGTGATTAATTATTTTAAAATTCAGGAAAATTCAAAACTAAATTTTGGATATTTTGTAGTTTTAAGATAGAACTTTAATAATTTTTTTTATAATTTTTAGGCTTGTAGTTTATTTTTCTTAGAATAAACTAGGTCTGGGGCGAACGTGGCTTGCCCGGTGTATGGATTTTTATGCATGTGATGTATGAATGTTTGCATGGTGCATGGTTTGGCTTAGAATGTGTGGTTTTTAAAATACAGCATGCGCGTTGTGCCTCATCTCTAAATTCTAGTTGTAAATCTCTTCTTAAACCTCATACCCCTTGCTTACAAAGGAAGGAATTTTTTCTCTCGAATTAAACAAAGAAGTCCATGAAGAAGAAAGGAAGATGAAGGAGCCATGAAGAAGAGGACATTAGCAAGAAGGGCTGAAATTGAAGGCTGAAGCACTCTTAAAGAAAGAAGGTGGAGCTAGAGATAAAGATCTCAAGTGAAGGCTTTATCGTTAGTTTCTTTAGGAGGCCACAACCATGTCACGTTTATTCATTATACATATTTGTATGTTTGAATGTATGCTTGTATGATATTGAACTTAAATAAGTTAAGGTAAAAATATGAATAAGTTAAATAAGTTAAGGTAAAAAGATGAATAACCTAGATGCACATGGTTAGGTTAATAAATAAAATCAAATTCATCTAACCTAGAGTTGTAAAGTGTTACAATTGGAAATAGTTCTACTTGAAATAGTTTAAGTATAGGGCAAGATGCAAAGCACAACTATAGTCAGATGAGATAAGGATCCTGGCCCAATATAGAATTTTATTTAGAAGAACCTAGCAAACCAAGGATTGTAAATGGATTACAATTAGAAATAAGTTCCAACCTAATTAGTTCAACTATAAGGCAAGATGCAAAGCACAACTATAGTTAAATGTAATATGGACCTTGGCCCACTAAGATATCTCTTTAGGAGAAAAGTCTCGAATCAACAGGTTACGTACTTGAGGGTAGTTTATTTGAAAAATTAGTGGGAGAGTTATTAGTTAAAGACCTGGATAATTACTTAGATTCTTGATATTAACAATCTTGCAAATTATATGTAGATGTCTAATAGCAACCATAACCTCACTCTTCGCTTGATCCTCGACAAAGATAAGTTGACCGGCTCTAACTTCTTAGACTGGAAAAGAAACCTCGTTATCGTTCTTTGACTTGAGAAAAAAGAGTACGTGCTTGAACGAGCCATTCCACCTGCCCCAGCCGCCAATGCTCCTAAAGCAACCAAAGATGCTTACGAAAAGAATGTTGATGATGACAATGAGGTGGCATGTCTCATGTTTGCTATGATGACTTCTGACCTTCAGAAACATCACGAGAGTATGAAGGCGTACGATATGATCATACACCTAAGACAGCTCTACCAAGGACAAGCTAGGCATGAGAGAGTCCAAATCTCTAAAGCTCTCTTTAGTTGCAAGTTCTCTATTGGAAACTCCGTTGGTCCGCATGTTCTCAAAATGATTGGCTATGTCCAAACTATTGAGAAATTGGGTTTCAAACTAAGGACTGAACTTGCAACTAATCTGATTCTGCAATCATTACTAAAGTTGTACAAGTAGTTTGTGGTTAATTACGAGATGCATGCACTTGATAAACCACTGCCAGAACTTTTGAAGATGCTGCAAACTGCTGAAGAAAGCTTGACGAAAGGGAAGGGAAATTTTGTCCTTCTAGTTCAAGGAGGAAAAAGCAAGAAAAAGTTCAAGAAGGCAAAGAAGAATGGACCTAAAGGCAAGGGTAACACCGAGCCAAAGTCCAATTCTTCTAAGCTAAAGCCTAAAGGTGGAGTGGCCAAAGATTCCATTTGTCACCATTGTGGTGAAGTTGGCCACTCGAAGAGGAATTGCAAACAGTATTTGGCAACCAAGATAAAGGGTGAAGCTTCTGCTTCAAGTACAATTTTTGTAAAGACATAAACTAATCTACAATCTCTTCAAAAGTATTCGATACTTATAATATTGCAAACCGTTGCAAGAACTGATGAAAAGAAGTAGGAGTGTTGATCTTGAAGATGCAAGGTTGCAGCTTAATGGTGCTTTAGTTTATTTTTTAGTATTTGATCAGTTTTCAATTTTGAATTGATGTTTACTTATTGTTATAAGTCCTTTGGTTATTTCAATAAAGCACAATTTGTTGCTCCATTTATAGAAGTATTTCATATGATCAAATATTTTGCCTCACAAGCATACCGCAATACAACAACCATACCAAGGCTATAAAGTATGAATTCTGATTAGTTAATAAGTTTGTCACAAAATTATGAATAAAGTGATAAACACCTAGAGATATAAGGATATTGTTATAAAAGTTTATAGCCAAGTACCCTTTTCTTTAAACTTTCGAAATTAAAACGTTTAATTAATAAGCACCCTTGATAAAGATCAAGTAATATTAATGCCAAAGTTACATAATAAGAAAGGAAAAGGTAATATAATCATGAAATTGACATTCCTTCAAACGTTATTTAGATAACATGACTAAAATGGCTAGTCTCATAAAAGGATTATGTAACCATGCCAAAATACTACTGCACCTTAAAAGCACTAAAATACCCATTATAGACTCTAAAAGGAAAGAATACTTGGAATCTGATCCAAAATGATTCCTTCATTAATAACAAGTAATAAAGGCATGTCTCATTTAAAGACACTTTAACACTTGTTTTGGGCAAGTCTATCATGTATAAAATAAGGGTTTCGAATTACCTATAACTAGTTATAGTACTTATATGTCTAGGATAAAAGTCTTATTGAAGACTGGTGGGAGCACTATAACTATGTTGCATATCATTGACAAAATAATTTGAAAACTTATCAGTCATGAATGCAAATAGTCGTTATGTGCTCAAGTCTAAAGAATCCATATAGATGGATCAAAGTACTAAGGATACTTTAAGTCTAGTACATACGTGGAAGATCCTTGCAAAAAAAACTTGCATAAATATCAAGGTTAAGCCTTTTAGAAACTCACTCTGTAAAAGGACCGCATGCAAATCATTCCATTGAGTACCATGAGATGTGTAAAAGGACTTGATTCATTCTAGAGGTGTGTGTGTGTGTGTGTATATATATATACACATATATATATACATACATATATGTGTGTGTGTGTGTGTGTGTGTGTGTGTCAAAATTGAGCTAAGAGCGGTGATTAACTTTATAAAAGTTAACTTTTGATTCTTATGAAGAGACAAAAAAGTATGGTTTTCTGAAATGGCTTAAGTGTAAATGTTACACACAAAATAGCTCGTTTAAAACAACCATAAAAGTAGGTTGAAATTAGCAAAACAAATATTATGAAGTCTTGACATGGTGTCATACGCATAACTATGAGACAAATTTGCAACTTTAGAAGTAGCAAAAGGAAGATATTTTGGTTTGGGTAGCTTCTTACAAAAGGATAGCATTGCTCCCAGCATTAGAAATCAATATATTTTGTACTGACAAAGAAAAGTATCAAAATAGGATTTTGCATATTTTTTCCCAAAATAGAACTTTGCATTGTTGTAATCTGACAGTGTACATGTGCACATTACTATACTTTTTTGATAATGTACTCCCTCTGTCCACCATAGATCTTCCCAGACACTATTCACAGGGTCAAACTTTACTCACTTTGTTTGCTCTTTTTTATTAGTCATTTCGTAAAATAATATAGTCTTGTCACCTCTAGTTTTGTATAACTTTTCATATAGTTTATTACTATATAAATTTTATTTTAAAATTTGACTCCTATAATCAATTAAATTGAATTGAAAATAAAGTCGGTCACGCCTCGTAACGCGTAACGGGAAGAACTTAGGTGGAAGGAGGGAGTATATGGCTATGTTTGGTAATGTAAGTCCTATTTCGAGAATAAAAAATGGAAATCCTATTTTAGTATATTTTTAATGTTTTAGTCCTATCTTAGTATTTCTCCCAAATAAAAATCAAAACTTATAAATTAGGGAGAAAGATCAAAGTATGACTTAAACATTGAGATTATACCAAAATAGGACTCCCATGTTTTTATTTCCAAAATAGAACTTACATTACCAAACATGGTCATATACATTACCAAAAAAGTAAAGTAATGTGCACATGTACACTGTCACATTACCACAATGCAAAGTCCTATTTCGGGGAAAAAAACATGAAAGTCCTATTTTGATACTTTTCTCTATGTCTTAGTCCTATTTAGGTTATTTCTATATAAATTAAGTATATTTCGAAACACAATCTTAAACGACCTCCAAGTTTAGTTTTTTTTCTCTCATTACAATCGGAATCGGAAATCAGAATAATGGAATAAGGACCATGCTACACTTACACCAACAAATATACCCCATTTGTACACCACAGGTTTGCACAAACATTTCGATGGTTTACACCGACACAAGTGTTGGTGCGTTAATAAAAATTCACACGGACACAAATGTTGGTGCGTTTAACAAAAATTAGTTTTACACCAACACAAAATGTTGGTGCAAAACTGCGGGGTACAAATTGGGGTACAAATCTTGGGCGGACT